CTATGGGGACGTCAGGTCGGTGGGATAGACGAGGATATCCCATGAGATTATTTTATCCACCTTCCATATGGATAACTTATCTGCCCATTTATACTGAAATGACGGAATAAAACAATAATACCCATTACCAAACACATGATTATTCTCAGTCACATTACAGGACTAGTGCAAAATGCTGGCCACAATAATTATGCAGGCATTCTCTCTATCTTACCATGACTAGGTGAAGCATCGTCTTAACTTCGGTTTTCCCATATGGCAACTGGTAGTAAGACTTGAGTATCGCAATGTAGATTGCCTAGTAAGACTTGAGTATCACCAAATTTCACAATCTGAAGAAGCAAGTATTCATATTTCCTCAGTTTTTATAGGTCTCCATCCTTTATCAGCAGAATTTTTCCGAGCATGAGATAAGAATCCAACTATGTAACCCATAAAAGCTCCAAGCATTAGCACACTTCCAACCTTTACATACCATGAGAACTTAGACTCCATGTGTACTGCATCTGCAGGACCATCACGGATACCAGCACTGAGAAGTAGTCCTGAAGCTAGGAACTCCACCTTATCATGCACCTCTCCGTCATGGTTTCCTACATAAGAAAGTGTAAGCTTTTTCTTTGTGGCATGCAGCCTCACGTAGCCAAATTCACTCCCACGGTACAGAGATTGCAGAGGCTGTGGGAAAATAGGATCCGTAGGGTGGTCTTCTCTTGGTGCCCAGATAGGCTGCCAGTCCTGTCCTGCCATCCCAATCACAATTTGAACTGGGAAAGCCTTTTGCTCCTTCCCATTCAAGGCCAAGCTTCCACAGGTGAAGTTATTCAAAGGGCAAAACCTCTCATACCTATGAACATGCCCCCACAATACAAGATTCACATTGTTCTTCACAAGAAGAGGTTCCAAATACTCAATCATTCTCTTCCTCAAAGATATATCTTTTGCTCCGCTACTTGAACTGTACATTGGTCTGTGCCCTTGAAAGACAACAAAAGGAGTTTTTACTCGATCAACTGATTCCAAGTCATGCTTTAAAAAGTCATACTGGTTACTACCTGGAAGGAAATTGGTTTCAGTTGACATATAGACAAAGTGAACGGGCCCAGAATCAAATGAGTAATAAAGATTCCGAGTTGCAGGAGCATGCATTCCAGTCGGCACTGAAGAGTTTCCTGGCATATGGAACTTATGACTGTAGGGTACACCACATTCACCTCCCCCATCTTTCCCGTAGCTTGACCAATCAGGCTTCCAAGGTTGAAGTGGCCAATCATATTCATGGTTTCCGATGCATACATGGTATGGAACTCTGGATGCAACAGGTTCTACCTGAGTAAAAAAGTTGTCCCACAACCAAGAGTATCCTCTAGCGTAGCTGATATCTCCAATATGTGAGATAAGGGCAGGCTTATTACCAAGAGCTTCAATATCACGGCTAATCCACTTAATCGTTGATTTACTTTCGTCCTGTGTACGAAGAAATGTCAAGTATGGGGTAGCAGTCCCCATGTCTCCAAACAAGAAAGCAAATGTTTCACCTGAGTCTCTATTCTGTGACACAAAGCTGTAAATGGTGCTCCAGCCCCCTGAATCACTGCCAACCTGTATGGTAATGCATCATTAGAGATATCAACTGTGGCAACCCGACGTCATTCAAGAAATGAACAATTTCTAACTCTGCATTATATACCATCACAGCGTACCACCATAGCTACTCAGGATAAAAAAAATAAAAATTGTATGGATGGGGTGAAATTAGTATTACTTCCGAACATTCTTAACTAGAGGATGGTTCCACTATAGCATATAGCTCTGAATTTGATGAAAATTCAATTTTGGGGGCTCGATGTTCTTCACTAGATAATTTATCAACAACAAAAAATTGTACTCCGCTAGAAAATCGCATGCATGAACTCGCTCATCACTCAAACCATAACTCACCATATTATACTGTCATTAGAAATCCCGAACTTACTATCATATCAATACCATCATATTGCAAACCAAAACTTCACTTGGCTGCCCACTGCTCAAACCTCCCACCCCATGTAAAAGCATAACTCTTGCTAAAAAGGGCAGCCCGGTGCACTAAAGCTCCCGCTATGCACAAGGTCTAGGGAAGGGCTCAACCACAAGGGCCTATTGTATGCAGCCTTACCTTGCATTTCTACAAGAGGCTGTTTCCAAGGCTTGAACCCGTGACCTCCTAGTCACCGGACAACAACTTTACTGTTGCTGAGAAAGTAAATTTGCTAATTAATTAACGGAATACGGCACATGTATGACTACACGGTGCATGAAGCATCTCGCGTTCATGCAGGGTGCCGGACATATGTAGGTACAGGTAAGAAGTAAATTAGCTGGCACCATTAACTCGTACAACGGATTAGCATTCCACAGCTTTAGCTCACTCAACAATACCATATGAAATTGATAATTACTACATCTAAAGTTAAAAACAATCTAAATTTCATACTTTTCCTTACTCTAAGTTAATATTAATAACAACTGATCTTCAATCTCAACTAATTAACACGGAGTTTAAGAAAATTAAGACCCGAACAATACCTGATAATAATACTTCTTTCCCTTTTTCAAATTAAGCATAACACCATCATGTATATACCCAGGATCTCTCCATCCAATACTACTATTAGCTGGTGCATCACATAAATCTTCCTTCTCATACCTCACAACCCGAGTTTTCACAACCCGACCCAATCTACCCCGGGTCAACCCATATCTCACATAACTCTCTTTCCCGTCAGGCGTAACAAACATAACCCGCATCTCATCTTCAAAACCCGTTAAAGCCAAATGAACCTGTTCGGGTCCCCGACCCGAAACAAACCCAACCTCCTCCGACACCGCAAGAATATGCTTCGTCTGCGGCAATGGATTGTGGTCATGATCCACTAGATCCGGTACAATCTCCGATTCCGTCCATCTGAATATCCGAAACTGATACCCAGATCGAAGATTGACTAAAGGGATGGAAATTGAACCCGACCCAGATTCCCATTCGGGTGTTGAAGATAGGAAAATATAGCCAATGAAATTGTCGTGGAGTGAACTGGGTGGAGAGTAAATTCCTAAGAAATCGAGTTTAGAAGGTGAGGGGATACCAGTCCATTTGATTGTAACAAAATCACCAGATTTTGATAAGGTTTTTGGGGTTACAGAAATGGAGATTTGTGAAGAAGAAGATGATGAAATCAAGTTGAAGAAGATGAGTAAGGTGAAGGTGACAAAAGGGATCATCATTATTGGTGCTTTTTGTGTTAATGGTTTAAATTTCCACCATTTTTTATGGTGAAGTTTAGCTATGGCGATTTTCCGGCCAGTTGATTGACGTGTCAATAAAAGCTTTCGTTTACTCTTTCTAATTTGTACTTCCCAAAAATTACCTACTTATTAGGTACACAAGTAACGATATCATTGGCGGGGCAGTTGCGGGGTAAATCCGTATAAATCCATGAAGACTTCAAGCGCAAATTATTAATTTTGTCTTTAATTATTGACAATTTGAAAATCATCCATTTATTTAATTAACTAAATTTAGATACATATTCAATTTGTCACATGATATAGTAAATGGTATCAAAATCTTGTAGGAGCATCGGTATCTTAATAAAAGGTTGAGATAAGTGTTGAAAACACCTCTAAACTTGGCGAGGGGCGTATTTCACTCATGAAGCAAAGATCGAGGTATATTTAAGTTCAATTAGTTAAGTAAAGAAATATGTATAAGAAGGTCAATAGTTCAGAAAAAAAAAACTAATAATTCACACTCGAGTTTAAGGGTATTTTTTATACTTCTCTATTTTATTTTTCAATTCATCCCGCCTAGCCTCGTATAGACCTATCTCATATAAATTTATTCCGCAAGATATATTTTTACTACCTAAAATGACATTGTTTTATTATTACGCAATAATAAATTCAATCATTTATATCAATAAGTTTAAATATGCTAAATTTTTAGACTCTTTCTACATTTTTTTTCAACTCAATTAATAAATTTCAATTATGAACTGATTTGTATTGTGTTGTATTGTATCGTTCTGCATTATTTTAATGAATACAGTATTTTAATAGATTGTATCGTTCTCACAGCAAATCGATCGCTACATGAAATGGGTCTTTTCATCGTTGGATTTAAACAATAATATACAATAAAATTTAAGTAACAATCAAAATAAATATTATAATTAAACTAACAATACAATTCAACGAGTAACAACCATCCAAGGTGTCACGTTTTTAATTTTTTCAACAACTTTGTGCTAAAGTTGAAGGTTAGCCATTAAAAAAAATGAGGAATAAGAAGAAGAACGAAAACCAATTATACGTATTTACAGAGAAAATTAATGAGGACTTTTGAGTAAAACGGATGTATGTTCTTATTTCTAAAGAATTTTTATAGAGAAAATATTCTAAAAATAACAATTAATTAAAATAGCTTAGTATTAAAAAGGGTAAATTAGTCCAACTATAATTTCTAAATATTAATGCTAAATAGGATATAAGAATTGTCACAAAAAGCGATAGATATTATTGACAAAACTAATAACTAATTCAATTTTTTTTGGTTCAAATAAAGTACTGTGTACATTAAAACTAAAATTAAAAAGAAAAAAGGCTTGGATCTTAAAGAACAACATCTTCATTGATTACCCACATGGGTTGTAGTGCACTGGTGGGAGTGCTTCACTCTTAACCAGAGGTCTCGGGTTCGAGCCCTGGGTATGGAGAAAATCCTGTTGGTAGTGTCACCCCCGAATGGGCCCTGCAGAGCGCGATCCGGATTTAGTCGGAGCTCCAGTGTGGGCTCTGGACATCGGGTGAAAAACCAAAAAAACATCTTCATTGATTAAATATACGTTGATCTTTTACGTAGTTTTGTCTAATCCGTTGGCATCTGGCTCCGGACATCGGGTGGAAAACCAAAAAAACATATTCATCGATTAAATATACGTTGATCTTTTACGTAGTTTTGTCTAATCCGTTGGCATCTCAAAGCGGCAAAGCGGACAGTAATGACTATTCTCTAACCACTTTGTAATGCAATCTCCATGAAACATATGCGAGCAAGGCAAACACAGTACTTGAGTTTCTTCCCCTATCGCATTTAAACATACCAAACACTCATCGTTGCTATTTCTTTCATCAGCTTCCATCGGTTCTAGCAACTCTATTGATGATTTACTAGCCGGCACCATTCCATTCTCATGTAATTCTGACAAAATTCTACCATGGTATTGGTGATCAATCATTAATGTCACATCCATACATACCTCCAACATCTGTTTAGTCATGATTTTTTTCAACTTACGAGTTGTTTGTTCAACTATAATGTGTTGTTGATCTTCAAACTCGTTCTTAAAATTTATAAACACTTCTGATATAGCACAGTCGAGTCTTTCATAGAGCTTGGTATCGGAAAGATGAAGAATGATTTGGGTTGATTCAGTTGAACTATCCAATTCTTCACCCATGTTTAAGTATTCTAGATTATTGGGTGTTATATACCAAAATTGATGTATTATACTGAAATTACAGTGAATGGTTATATAGGGTAAAGAAGAAGAATATGAAGAAGTAATTGGGGGAATTATAAATTTTTCTTCTTCAGAAATTGGTTTAACGCTAACGAGTGTGTGTTTGAAGCAGTCATGGCATACAAATCCTGTTGGCCACATATTGCAATTTGCAAGTATTAAGAAAAATCAATATTTTTTACTAATGGAAGGGTAGACCCTTCCAAGTTTATTTATAATAAAATATTACTACCAAAAATCAAATATCATTAGAAATAGGATTAGTGAGTGGGAAGTTTAATTTGATAAGAAAAAGGAATTAGTAACGGAAAAGAATATGTATACGTTTTTGGAAATATAAATTGGAAACTTCAAATGCCCATTTTTATTTAGGGAAAAGTAATTACAAAAAAATTAGTGTGTCAAGAAAATTTAATTTAATGTCAACTAGAAAGTTTCTCTGAGATTCATATTTACCAGAGTGACTTTGCTGAAGCAACTGAAGTGTAGGTTCAAATTCCACAAAGGCCAAAAAGCTACGTGGTTTCTTTCCATACGTCTAAACCTTGGTGGTAGAAAATGAGTATCCTGAGGAAAAATCAAAATGCATGCAAGATGATCAAAACCCCATTATTACCAATGTTTTTAAAAGTGAAGTACACAAAAAGGCAACAATGTTCATGAGGCTTGAAGCGCACAATTAAAGAACAAAAAATACATAACATATATGGATTAAGTACTACGATAATTACAATAACTAATTTCAATAGACAATATAGAATAATGTCGATATTAATCCAACTCCTCAAAATTGAGATTCAAAGAACTAACCTTTTTGCGTCATTATTTGAAGCGCACACTCCTTGACGCACATGTTTTTACCTATGAGGAACCCCTTTCTTCACATAGCTTCATTGCTTTGAGTGACAATGAGATGACTTTTACAACACTGGCTGTTATGCGAAGGAAAAAAAAGTCGCTTGGTCCAACACTTCAGTTTTTCTTTGCTGCAACTCCATTAGATAATTTCAACTGAACTTAGAGACATAATAAATCACATTCAAAATCAATACTCAACGTCCTGTTACTTTCTGCGTCAATATTTTAAATTTGATCATCCTAATTGAAAGAAGCTAATCGGAAAGGACTTCACAGAAAATTGCTTAATAAGCAACAAATGGGCCATGAAGGTTGTCACAGTAATAACACGCAAGCGCGATACTCAAGGTTCATGAAGTCAATTGTGTTCTTGCACTCAAAGATCTCATCTGATATTAGTTTATGTCACTCCTACTGTAGCCTGGTAGTTTTTCGAGTCCTCTTTCATCAATTGTTCCTCTGATTCTTTCAGTATCGTCTCATCTTCATGTCTAGCATAAAGGTTGTATAAAATAGCAAAAGAAACAATTCTTCAGTTTTGTTACCATGATTTTAAAAGTGAAAATAAATACTTAACAATTGATTTTGAAAAAAAAAGAATTTAAGGATAGATATTCACCTGAATTGTGAGGCCTACATCCAAGGAACATAGTTTTAGCCTACCTAGGAATGTTTTACAACCCTTCCTAGAGATGTAACTGAATTTGTGCATATCTATCAATCTCAAAATAATTTTTGACAAGTTACAACCCCTGATTCAAACATAGTCATCCAACTTAGCATTTCGTCTTTTGATCTTCTTGTCTTTGCCCAACTCGTCCGTCACCACTTGTGCATCGACCTCAATAGGGTCCCTATCGTTCACAACGTCTCTGGCAGCTAAAACATTGTCATGAGTTTGATGTACCATCTCATATTGAATCCTGCTTGGTACCAGTAAACGACTACTAAAACTTTGTGTCGCTCTAAAAATGCCCCTTAAGTAGCATTTCAGTTGGAGTCCTGCCAACCAACATCTCAAATAACTTAATGATGAACACAAAATAACAATATCTAATGAAAATACGAAACAAGTAAAAACTTACTCCAGTCACACAGGGGCAGTTCTACGGATGTAAAAACCAACAGCTCCTCATATGGCATTGATGCTCGTACGGAATGTTCTCCACCAATCATATCTTCAACAAAACAATCAAATTTATCCTGTTTTTGTACGGAGAAAACGACAACAAAGTGAATTTGATGAAAAGTACTAAGCATAAAATGGTACACATATAAAGTACTTACCTTGCCTCTGGGAAGAAAAATAATTCAATGTCATCAGTAGTAGCCTCTGATGTGTTGAAATACTTAGGCCATAAATCGGCTTTAGGAAGCATTTCGAAGTGAAGATTAAGAAAAAGTAGCTTTGCTTTTTCAGAAACACTCTGGCTTGCTTTGTCAGAGAGGTGAGCAACAACTCCGTAAAGTTTATACTTCTTGTTCCATACATTAAAGCAACCTCTGCCAGAAAATGTGCAAGAAAATAGACAATAGGAAAGTTATTTTACTGAACAATATTTTCCGACTCTTTCCTATCAATCTCAAAATAATTTTTGATGTTATTCTTGTATTAGACATTTCTATTGTCTAATACAATATTTTGAGATTTATAGGAAAGTGAGGACAAGATTGTTCAGTAAAATAACTTCCCTACTGTCTGTTTTCTTGCACATTTTCTGGCAGAGGTTGCTTTAACGGATGGAACAAAAAGTATAAGTTTGACGGAGTTGTTGCTCACCTCTCCGACAAAGCAAGCCAAAGTGTTTTTGAAAAAACAAAGGTACTTTTTCTTAATCTTGACTTTGAAATGCTTCCTAAAGTCGATAACTTTGGCCCAAGTATTTCAACACATTAGAGGCTACTGCTGATGACACTGAATTGTTTCTTCCCCTCGGAGGCAAGGTAAGTACTTTATATGTTCACCATTTTATGCTTAGTACTTTTCATCAAATTTGTTTTGTTGTCATTTTCATTTTCTCCGTACAGAAACCAGGAGAAAATTGATCATTTGGTTGAAGATATGATTGGTGGAGAACATGCTCTACGAGCTTTAACGCCATATGGGGAGCTATTGGTTTTCACATCCATAGAATGACCATGTGTCACTGAAGTAAGTTTTTACTTATTTCGTGTTTTCATTAGATGTTATTTCATGTTCATTGTTAAGTTATTTGAGAAACTAGCTGGCAGGATACCAATTGAAATGCTACTTATGGAGCATTTTCAGAGCGACACAGGGTTCTAGTAGCCATTTACAGGTACCAAACAAGATTCAATCTGGGATGGTACATCAAACTCCTAACAATGTTTTGGCTGCCAGAGACGTTGTGAACGATAGGGCCCCTACTAAGGTCGATGCACAAGTGATGACAACAGAGTTGGGAAAAGGCAAGAGGATCAAAAGACAAAATGCTAAGTTGGATGACTATGTTTGAATCAGGGGTTGTAACTTGTCAAAAATTATTTTGAGATTGATGGGAAAGAGTAAGAAAAGTAAAAAAATCCATTACCCAGTGATCAATAGGAAAAAGTAGGAAAAGATTGTTCAGTAAAAAGTGACTGTGATGGTATACCAAGAAATAGACAAGAGGTGAATAAATCATGAAATAATGATCGGGAAACAAACCGTACATAACACAATAATGTACACAACAACTTGTTAACGATAAAGTAAACTGAAGACATGGAACAGGTTGAACAACCTGGTCCAATCAGCGTGTACGACGGAGTAAGAGTCACTCTAGGTTCAGGTCACTTATATCGAGGTTGCTACTTCTTGTACTACCTGAAGTCAACTAGAATTAGATTACGACTAAGATTATATTACGACTAGGATTAGATTATTTATAATTGCATTATTATTATAGTAGTAATAGGTATTGTAGTAGGACTTTAAATATAGTTAACTTAGGACTCTACAATTCTCTCTATATATAAGGAGCATATACTCAACAATTTTAATTATCAATACAATCCTTGATTTCTCTAATCTTAGACGTGAGAATTCTACATTGTATCATAGCTTAAAAGCTTTTCCGCTCTCTAAGTAGTGATCCAAAAAAAAACACGTTCAACTGCAATGGCCCCCTCCACCAACACTATGTCGACCTCCTCACTTCACCAACGCATTACAGCTTGTTCCATTGAACTTAAGCCAACAAACTACCTCATATGGAGGATACAAATATCCCAACTGATTCAGGTGTTGAGACTAACCTATCTCATCACAATGAATGAACCAACTTAAAGTAGTTGTTCCATTGGACAGGCTATTGGGAAAGTTGTAGCAGTTGAGAAGGATGCAAAAGATAGTGGCAATACTTGATGATTGGGAGGAGAAAGATGTGTTGTTAAGGAGTTGGATCTCAGGCACCTTGACAGAAGAAAGCGTGTACCTAATTTTGGGCAGCTCAACGACCAAGGAGATGTGGGAATGCTTGGAAGAAGTTTATCTTCAAGCAACAAAAGATAAGAAGTTTCAGCATAAACAACAACTACAAAGTGCTAGGCTAGGAACCAAAAAAGATTGATGAATACATCAAGGAATTCAAAGGCATATGTGATGGCTTTGCAGCCATTCAAAAACCTGTGGATGAAGATAGCAAAGTAATCAATTTTGCTAGAGGTTTAGGTCTCAAATACAAGACCTTCAGGACTATCATGTTAGATAAGGTATCATATCCTACCCTTAATCAATTTGTTAATGCTCTCAGGGTTTTGATATAAGGGAAGATGAAAAAGAGGTGCCACAACAAAACCATAATATGGTATTCTTTGCCCAAAGGGGCAGGGAAGTGAAAACAACAACTTCAACTCCAAAGAAAGAGGTTTCAAGCCTACTGGACAGAGAACAGGTTCTCAAATCAATCAATATGGACCAAGTTCTCCAAACAATCAAAGTTTTCCAAGTGGAAATAAGGAGAGGAACAGTACTGAGTAAAGTCAAATTTGTGGTAGGAATAATCATACTGCTCTTAAGTGTTTTTATAGGTGGGACTACTCATATCAATCTGCAGATGAACTATCACAAGCAACGACTTGACATCACACTCATACCGAAGCATTGACAAATTTACGAAGCAAACTAAAAGTAATCGTTCCTCCACTCTCTAGCTTGAGGGGAAGTGTTGAAGATAAAGAAAACTGAAGACATGGAGCAGGTTGAACAACCTGGTCCAATCAACGTGTACAACGGAGTTAGAGTCACTCTAGGTTTAGGTCACTTATATCGACTAGGCTGCTACTTCTTGTACTAGCTGAAGTCAACTAGAATTAGATTACGACTAGGATTAGATTATTTATAATTACATTATTATTATTATAATAGTAATAGGTATTGTAGTAGGACTCTAAGTATAGTTAACTTAAGACTCTACAATTTTCTCCCTCTATAAGGAGCATGTACTTAACAATTTAATTATCAATGCAATCCTTGATTTCTCTAATCCTAGACGTGAGAATTCTACACAACTAACAAAATATGAAAAAAGGAAACACCAACAGAGAAACAAATGTTACAAGAGGCATAATAAAAAAGACGAACATGATTAAACAATTAAGATGCAACAGAAGATATTTACAACTAGAGACAGGTTTAAAGAGAAACAAGGAACCAATGACATGACAACTAGAAATAAACAACTTACTCTGATGTTCTCTTGAAAAAGAGAAGGAAGTTCTTTTGCATAACAAAGTATAAGAAAAAAATCATTCCTTTGCCATCAGTTTCACCCTGAAAAATTGCGGTAGGATATAATGGTACCTGTAAAAAAGAAAGAAAAAGGGCAAAAGCAACACCTTAGCAACTCAAATGAGTGAACATTTGAATACATAATGGGTCATAAGAAGAATATAAACTACATGATTACATGAACATAAGAAAGAAAAGTTTTCGTACCAACAAACATGATTCTGGAGGGCTGAGAATAGGGGTAAAAAACACTGGCTTGAGAATAGGTTCACAACTGAAAAGGAATTAAATTAGACACTTGAAATAATTTAGAAAGAAAGTATTTTTTATCAAACATGACTAAGTAAGACAAGTAATTAGTAAAATCAATTAAAATAACACAAAACATTCATCGTTAGGGGAATTAATTAAATTAAACCAAACATTTAAAGTTAGAGTTAATCAAAACAAAATAAATAAATAATTACAATCCAATAATTAAAATAGAGAAGATGAATTTGGGCCTAAACTGCTGCTGCCTAGAAACATCGGGCCAATTTTCAGTGTGTATATCAACACTATATATCAGTGTATACAGGCTTGTATACCAAGCTTCGTTTCCTGTATATTTTCTTCCAATTGACCTGTTTCAGCTTCCCTTTCTCAACGATAACCAAGGTAACTTGATGAAGATATGTTGGATTTTAACCCAACCCACATGCAAGGAAGGAGTCTCAAAAGACTCATTCAAAGGGAGTTCATGCATAGAAATCAAATAATAAAGAATAGAATGGGTCCTATTTTTCAAGATCGTAATAATCAAATGTGAAAGCTGTAAGAAATCAACAGTGCAGCCAAACATTATTAAGACCAAAAGATCCCACATTCCAATAGATAATTATTCTTAAATAATGGAGAATCCAATGCATAATCAAGAAAACAACACTTTAATTACCATGCCACTTATCTAAATAAATATAAAACTCAAGTCAAGCTAACACATTCATCTCTATCAACCTAGGCAGTAGAGAATATAGGCAAATTTGCAAAAGATAAACTCCAAACTTACATCAAGAAACTATGTTCATGAGAAATGAAAAATAATGAAGCAAATCATTTGAAAACTCATTTCAGATTTCACACTAGTTTACAATCTTATAAAGTAAAGCCTTTTGATTCTCGATCAAATGACATGTACACGAAACATTCACATATATCCATACTAAGAAAGACTTTGAAAGAAGCTATTCATATTAGAAAACTGCAAACAAACAATTAATACTCATATGCAAATTACAAAGACAATGATATTAACTATAAGCTGAAGTAAACAAAAAAAAACCTTTCCTAAAATGAATACCCATTAGCTAAATTGACATCAGATCTCTAATTCAAACATCACTACAAATCTATGCATAGTAAACAACATATTCCAACATTTGATTCAACATTTCAACTTGATAAAAATGGATAGTTAATCATAGATTCGCAAGCATTTGAAGAAAATTTATAACTCAACCATTTAATGACTCATATCAACGTGGCAATGAACACAACAACCAAATTTAACCCACAACAACTCATATACGAGCAAATCACAACATCATACCAATATCACCTATTTAAACGCCAACCTAGAGACAAATCTGATCAAAACTGAAATTTACACACTTAAAATAGAATCATACTTTTAGAGGAAAAATGAACTGCTAAAAAGGAAAGAAAAAGGAAAGAAAACAGACTAATTAGCTAAGAATACATCAAATTAAACAACAAAACGAGATTATACGAGGATTTAAATAAGACAATAAAAATTTACCTTTTCCGTAGCAACTTCCACGACAACGAGCTTAGCGATGAAGCTTCTTCCACTGACCTTGACTTAACTGAATTCCGACGCAACAACAAGAAATAGAAGGAAACTATGGTCCAAACCTTTGTGATTTAGGCGTGGTAAGAACACTGATTTTTTCTCCAAATTTTGATACTCAAAAACCCTATTTAGGTAATGAAAAAATTGTTTTCGGACGAAGCCTTTTGTGGTTTATAGAGGGTCAAAAACTCTGTGAAATAGGGAAGGGAGAGGGGTTTATATAGGGGATCGATTTGGGGGGAAACGGGTGAGGGAATTGGATAAGAATGAATTTGAAATTCAAAAATTATTGGAGGATAAGGTTGGACGAGCTATCAATTATACTAATCTTGTACAATTCTCAATGGAATTGAAAAGAGGACCGATTGATTCTTTGATGAAGGAAAAGGAGCAACATAATGGCTCCACTTGTCCCGATTCGAGAAGTTTCTCATACGGAGAGGATAGGGGAGAGAGGGAGAGGGACGCGGATGTGTCGAATGGTTTGTGTTCGCGCGAGGAAGACGAGTACGGGTTCGTTGGGTGTTGGATTTGTTCTTGACAAGGAGAAGAGGAAAACATGAATTCTGAAAAGGAGAAAGAATATGGGGAAAAAGGGCGCATGGAGTGGGGTCGGCTTGTTGGTGTATGTGGGGAAGTAGGTTGGGCTAAGTTTAAGGAAAGAAATGGGCTTAAATTTCTATAAAAGCGTATCCAAGAAATGGAGCAAATATTGGTTAGATTTGCAATTGGAAAAGGGCCAATGTGAAGGGCTGAAATTCCCTATACTTCTCTAGTCATCCCACAAAATGAATGGCTTCTGAGTAAGTTGGTAATATGTGAAGGGCTTAAATTGAACCAAATCTGGCCTAAAATAATGACCGACCCGGCCCACACCCTTTGTCTCCAAACCCTCACGCTCCCATTTTCTCCATTCACGCCTAGAACGAAGCAGCCAGAGAAACAAAATCATGAAGTACCCTAGTTTAGTTCCAAAATGGCTCCGCATCTCTTCTCTCTCACAGATAAATACACTAATGTGTGCTTAGCACGAGAGCTTTGGTACCACGCCAAGATTCTAGAAACTCCTTGACGGTATATTACTCTAATTTATCAAGAAAAAACCTTCAAATGACACAAAGGACAAGTGTAAATCACTTTATAGCAGAAAAATTAAAGGTATTTGTTTTTGATCTATTCAAATCTTTACTTTGAGATATCAAAATTTCAATTTTTTTATTGGTCAATACACCCAATCTTGTTTGACAGAATCAGACGCAGATCCCACAGCCTTACCTATGTCACTCTCGTGTCGACACGATTGCGGCACAAATTTTACAGAGTTCGAGTAACTTAGAGTGGGTCACAACGCTACCTTGGGTTGAATTTTGGTACAATAATTTTTACCAAACATATGCTGGAATGACACCATTTCAAGCACGGTATGGGCGAGAACCTTCCACTATAGCTCGATATATATTGGGGAGCACTGCTAGTGAATTAGTTGAGGCTTACTTAATTCAGCATGATGCGATTCTGGAGTTGTTGAAAGCGAATTTGATCAAAGCACAAACAAAGATGAAGAAGTTTACAGATAAACATCATACTAAGCTAGTGTTTGCAGTTGGTGACTGGGTTTTTGTGAAGTTGAAACCATATCGACAACTTTATGTGCGGCTACAAAAGGGTCATAAGCTTGAACGACGATACTTTGATCCTTTCAAGGTCATCAAGCGCATTAGAGAGGTGGCATATAAATTGGAGTTACCAATCGAGGCCAAGATACATCTTGTATTTCACGTTTTAGTTCTTAAGCGTTGCTTGGGCAAGCCTATCCAACAAGTTACACCATTGCAGCTCCAAGATTGTCCTGACCAGATCGAGATAGATGACTTCAACCTTTGAGGACAAGTGTAACATCCGGCAATTTGAAATAATTATGAAGAGGCTTAGAATTGGAAATAGTCATTTTAGAAAGATTTAAAAATCTGGAAATTTGGCTAAGTATGGAAATATGTGAGTTTTTGGCCAACTTTGAGCAGTCATAACTTCTAGCTCAGGATGAGTTAGGTGTAGTTCTAGTTATGGTTGCAAAGCTCGTGGAATGATCTTTCCAACGCCACCAAGTTTGCTCAATTCCGAGTTCGTATGAGTGAGTTATGCCCTTTGGAAGTTGGGCAGTTGGCAGGGAAATCCGTCCGGAAATTTGTAAGGGTATTTTGGGTCTTTTACCCTAGCCAATTGTTTTGGTTATATTGTTGTGTTAGACTGATTTTTAGATCAGTTTGTCCTTTTTTTAAAAGAGTGAGAGTTAGGGCTTTTTGAGTGAAGAAGAGAAGAAAAGGAGAAGAAGAAGAGGAGATCAAGCAAGTTTCCGTCGTGGATATCGTCGGGGGTGATCCCTACTAGGTATGTGAGTTCATAGTGTTGGGTTGGCTCTTTCCCCCACACGCCACACTCGTTTTATTGTTGAAGAAAAGATTGGTTGTGTTGTTGAAGTTGTTGGTTGTGTTGTTGATGTTGTTGTTTGTGTTGTTGAAGTCCCTTGTTGTTTTGGGCATGTTTCCGGTTGTGGTTTTGAGTTGAAATCTATTGTATGTTGAGGGGTTATGATTCTAAGTGGTTGGGGTTGAAACCATTGAAGTTTAGAAGGTTTAGAGTTGGAGAAAAGAGGGAGAAAAGTCGAGTTTTCTGGGGAAGAGGGTGGCGCGTCGCGCCTGCCAGCGCGCCCCAAACGGGGTTCTGAACTTTCCCCCTTGGGGGCGGCGCGCCTAGCAGAGCACCAGCAGGGTCCCTCTGAACTTTGAGGGCTGGCGCTCCGCGCCTTGCAGAGCGCCAAGGACGCCAAGTTTCCCCTTTCTTTTCATACTTTCTCATGCATGTCCCTTAGTATTGTACCTATGTTTCCTAGTTGTTTCCAACCCTCCAAGGTACTTCTAAAAGTCAAGAATTCATCCGTAACATGTGATCAAACACCTTGAATCCATGAATCCAATTCAAGGAGAGTTAGTTTCCAAGTCAAGTGAAGTTAAGAGTTAAGTTCAGGAGTTAAGAAGCAAGCCGAAGCAAGTCTATAAAGTTGTTCAAGAGTCTTTATTGAATGTTTTAACTTCATTT